GAAAGGCGGCAGAGGATCCCAAAAAGAAGAAGAAGAAATAAAGGCAAAGTAGTCCGGAGAGAAAGGCTGCAGAGGACCCCAAGAAGAAGAAGCAAAGGTAAAGAAGCCCGGAGACAAAGGTTGCAGAGGATCCCAAGAAGAAGAAGCAAAGGCAAAGTAGCCCGGAGAGAAAGGCTGTAGAGGATCCCAAGAAAAAGAAGCAAAGGCAAAGTAGCCTGGAGAGAAAGGCCGCAGAAGATCCCAAGATGAAGCAGAAGCAAAGGCAAAGTAGCCCGGAGAGAAAGGCTGCAGAGGATCCCAAGAAGAAGAAGAAGCAAAGGCAAAATAGCCCGCAGAGAAAGGCTACAGGGGATCCCAAGAAGAAGAAGCAAAGGCTAAGTAGAAAGATTACAGAGGATCCCAAGAAGAAGAAGAAGCAAAGACAAAGTAGCCCGGAAAGAAGGACTGCAGAGGATTCCAAGAAGAAGAAGAAGAAGCAAAGGCAACCTAGCCCGGAGAAAAAGGCTGCAGAGGATCCCAAGAAGAAGAAGAAGCAAAGGCAAAGTAGAAAGGTTGCAGAGGAGCCCAAGAAGAAGAAGCAAAGGCAAAGTAGCCCGGAGAGAAAGGCTGCAGAAGATCCCAAGAAGAAGAAGAAGCAAAGACAAAATAGCGAGGAGAGAAAGGCTGCAGAGGATCCCAAGAAGAACAAGAAGCAAAGGCAAAATAGCCTGGAGAGAGAGGCTGCAGAGGATCCCAAGAAGAAGAAGAAGAGGAAGCAGAGGCAAAATAGCCCGGAGAGAAAGGCTGCAGAAGATCGCAAGAAGACGAAGAAGCAAAGACAAAGTAGCCCGGAGAGAAAGACTGCAGAGGATCCCAAGAAGAAGAAGAAAAGGCAAAATAGTCCGGAGAGAAAGGTTGCAGAGGATCCCAAGAAGAAGAAGAAGCAAAGGCAAAGTAGCCCGGAGAGAAAGGCTGTAGAGGATCCCAAGAAGAAGAAGAAACAAAGGCAAAGAAGCCCGGAGAGAAAGGCTGCAAAGGATCCCAAGAAGAAGAAGAAGCAAAGGCAAAGTAGTCCGGAGAGAAAGGCTGCAGAGGATCCCAAGAAGAAGAAGAAGCAAAGGCAAAGTAGCCCGGAGAGAAAGGTTGTAGAGTATCCCAAGAAGAACAAGAAGAAGCAAAGATAAAATAGCCCGGAGAGAAAAGCTGCAGAAGATCCCAGGAAGAAGAAGAAGCAAAGGCAAAGTGGCCCGGAGAGGTAGGCTGCAGAGGATCCCAAGAAGAAGAAGCAAAGACAAAGTAGTCCGGAGAGAAAAGTTTCAGAGGGTCCCAAGAAGAAGAAGAAGCAAAGGCAAAGTAGTCCGGAGAGAAAGGCTGCAGAGGATCCCAAAAAGAAGAAGAAGAAGAAATAAAGGCAAAGTAGTCCGGAGAGAAAGGTTGCAGAGGACCGCAAGAAGAAGAAGAAGAAGCAAAGATAAAGTAGTCCGGAGAGAAAGGCTGCAGAGGATCCCAAGAAGAAGAAGCAAAGGCAAAAAATAGCCCTACAGAGGATCCCAAGAAGAAGAAGAAGCAAAGACAAAGTAGCCAGGAGAGTAAGGTTATAGAGGATCCCAAGAAGAAGAAGCAAAAACAACCTAGCCCGGAGAGAAAGGCTGCAGAGGATCCCAAGAAGAAGAAGCAAAGGCAAAGTAGCCCGGAGAGAAAAGATGCAGAGGATCCCAAGAAGAAGAAGAAGAAGCAAAGGAAAAATAGTCCGGAGAGAAAGGCTGCAGAGGATCCCAAGAAGCAGAAGAAGAAGAAGCAAAGGCAAAGTAGCCCGGAGAGAAAGGCTGCAGAGGATCCCAAGAAGAAGAAGAAGCAAAGACAAAGTAGCCCGGAGAGAAAGCCTGTAGAGGATCCCAAGAAGAAGAAGGAAGCAAAGGCGAAAAAGTCCGGAGAGAAAGACTGTAGAGGTTCCCAAGAAGAAGAAGCAAAGGCTAAGTAGTCCGGAGAGAAAGGTTGCAGAGGATCCCAAGAAGAAGAAGCAAAAGCAAAGTAGTTCGGAGAGAAAGGCTGCAGAGGATCCCAAGAAGAAGAAGAAGCAAAGGTAAAGTAGCCCGGAGAGAGAGGCTGCAGAGGATCCCAAGAAGAAGAAGGAGCAAAGGTAAAATAGTCCGGAGAGAAAGACTGCAGAGGATCCCAAGAAGAAGAAGAAGCAAAGGCAATACAGTCCGGAGAGAAAGGATGCAGAGGATCCCAAGAAGAAAAAGCAAAGACAAAGTAGCCCGGAGAGAAAGGCTGCAGAGGATCGCAAGAAGAAGAAGAAGCAAAAACAAAGAAGCCCGGAGAGAAAAGCTGCAGAGGATCCCAAGAAGAAGAAGAAACAAAGGCAACGTAGCCCGGAGAGAAAGGCTGCAGAGGATCCTAAAAAGAAGAAGAAGCAAAGGCAAAATATTGGTAGCCCAGAGAGAAAGGCTGCATTGGATCCCAAGAAGAAGAACCAAAGGCAAAAGAGCCCGGAGAGAAAGGATAGAGAGGATCCCAAGAAGCAGAAGCAAAGGCAAAGTAGCCCGCAGAGAAAGGCTGCAGAGGATCCCAAGAAGAAGAAGAAGAAGAAAAAGAAGAAGAAGAAGAAGAAACAAAGGCAAAATAGCCCGGAGGGAAAGGCTGCAGAGGATCCCAAGAAGAAGAAGTCAAGGCAAAGTAGCCCGGAGAGAAAGGCTGCAGAGGATCCCAAGAAGAAGAAGAAGCAAAGACAAAGTAGCCCGGAGAGAAAGATTGCAGAGGATCCCAAGAAGAAGAAGAAGCAAAGGCAACGTAGCCCGGAGAGAAAGGCTGCAGAGGATTCCAAGAAGAAGAAGAAGCAAAGGCAAAAAAGTCCGTAGAAAAAAGCTGCAGAGGATCCCAAGAAGAAGACGAAGCAAAGGCAAAGTAGCCCGGAGAGAAAGACTGCAGAGGATCCCAAGAAGAAGAAGAAACAAAGGCAAAGTAGCCCGGAGAGAAAGGCTGCAGAGGATCCCAAGAAGAAGAAGAAGCAAAGGCAAAATAGCCCGCAGAGAAAGACTGCAGAGGATCCCAAGAAGAAGAAGAAGCAAAGGCAAAGTAGCCCGGAGAGAAAGGCTGCAGAGGATCCCAAGGAGAAGAAGAAGCAAAGGCAAAGTAGTCAGGAGAGAAAAGCTACAGAGGATCCCAAGAAGAAGAAGCAAAGGCAAAGTAGCTAGGAGAGAAAAGCTGCAGAGGATCCCAGGAAGAAGAAGAAGCAAAGGCCAAGTAGTCCGGAGAGAAAAGCTATAGAGGATCCCAAGAAGAAGAGGCAAAAGCAAAGTAGTCCGGAGAGAAAGGCGGCAGAGGATCCCAAAAAGAAGAAGAAGAAATAAAGGCAAAGTAGTCCGGAGAGAAAGGCGGCAGAGGATCCCAAAAAGAAGAAGAAGAAATAAAGGCAAAGTAGTCCGGAGAGAAAGGCTGCAGAGGACCCCAAGAAGAAGAATCAAAGGTAAAGAAGCCCGGAGAGAAACGCTGCAGAGGCTTCCAACAAGAAGAAGAAGCAAAGGCAAAGTAGCCCGGAGAGAAAGACTACAGAGGATCCCAAGAAGAAGAAGAAGAAGCAAAGGCAAAATAGTCCGGAGAGAAAAGCGGCAGAAGATCCCAAGATGAAGCAGAAGCAAAGGCAAAGTAGCCCGGAGAGAAAGGCTGCAGAGGATCCCAAGAAGAAGAAGAAGCAAAGGCAAAATAGCCCGCAGAGAAAGGCTACAGGGGATCCCAAGAAGAAGAAGCAAAAGCTAAGTAGAAAGATTGCAGAGGATCCCAAGAAGAAGAAGAAGCAAAGACAAAGTAGCCCGGAAAGAACGACTGCAGAGGATTCCAAGAAGAAGAAGAAGCAAAGGCAAACTAGCCCGGAAAAAAAAAGGCTGCAGAGGATCCCAAGAAGAAGAAGAAGCAAAGGCAAAGGAGAAAGGTTGCAGAGGAGCCCAAGAAGAAGAAGCAAAGGCAAAGTAGCCCGGAGAGAAAGGCTGCAGAAGATCCCAAGAAGAAGAAGCAAAGACAAAATAGCGAGGAGAGAAAGGCTGCAGAGGATCCCAAGAAGAACAAGAAGCAAAGACAAAATAGCCTGGAGAGAAAGGCTGCAGAGGATCCCAAGAAGAAGAAGAGGAAGCAGAGGCAAAATAGCCCGGAGAGAAAGGCTGCAGAAGATCGCAAGAAGACGAAGAAGCAAAGACAAAGTAGCCCGGAGAGAAAGACTGCAGAGGATCCCAAGAAGAAGAAGAAAAAGCAAAATAGTCCGGAGAGAAAGGCTGCAGAGGATCCCAAGAAGAAGAAGGAGAGAAAGGCTATAGAGGATCCCAAGAAGAAGAAGCAAAGGAAAAGTAGCCCGGAGAGAAAGGCTATAGAAGATCCCAAGAGGAAGAAGAAGAAGCAAAGGCAAAGTAGCGCGGAGAGAAAGGCTGCAGAGGATCCCAAGAAGAAGAAGAAGCAAAGGCAAAATAGCCCGGAGAGAAAGGCTACAGAGGATCCCAAGAAGAAGAAGCAAAGGCAAAGTAGCCCGGAGAGAAAGGTTGCAGAGGATTTCAAGAAGAAGAAGCAAAGGCAAAGTAGTCCGGAGAGAAAGGCTGCAGAGGATCCCAAGAAGAAGAAGAAGAAGCAAAGGCAAAAAAGGCCGGAGAGAAAGGCTGCAGAGGATCCCAAGAAGAAGAAGCAAAGGCAAAGTAGCCCGGAGAGAAAGGCGGCAGAGGATCCCAAGAAGCAGAAGAAGAAGAAGAAGCAAAGGCAAAATAACGCGGAGAGAAAGGCTATAGAGGATCCCAAGAAGAAGAAGCAAAGGCAAAGTAGCCCGAAGAGAAAGGCTGCAGATGATCCCAAGAAGAAGAAGAACAAAAGGCAAAGGGGTCCGGAGAGAAAAAGGTCATGCAGAGGATCCCCAAGAAGAAGAAGAAGTAAAGGCCAAAGTAGCCCGGAGAGAAAGGATGTAGAGGATCCAAGAAGAAGAAGCAAAGTCAAAGTAGCCCGGAGAGAAAGGCTGCAGAGGATCCCAAGAAGAAGAAGAAGCAAAGGCAAAGTAGCCCGGAGAGAAAGGTTGCAGAGGATCCCAAGAAGAAGAAGAAGCAGAAAAGGCAAAGTAGCCCGGAGAGAAAGGTTGCAGAGGATCCCAAGAAGAAGAAGAAGCAGAAAAGGCAAGGTAGCCCGGAGAGAAACGCTGCAGAGGCTTCCAAGAAGAAGAAGAAGCAAAGGCAAAGTAGCCCAAGAAGAAGAAGAAGCAAAGGCAAAGTGGCCCGGAGAGAAAGGTGCAGAGGATCCCAAGAAAAAGAAGAAGAAGCAAAGGCAAAAAAGTTCGGAGAGAAAGGCTGCAGAGGATCCCAAGAAGAAGAAGAAGCAAAGGCAAAGTAGCCCGGAGAGAAAGGCTGCAGAGGACCCCAAGAAGAAGAAGAAGCAAAGGCAAAGTAGTCCGGAGAGAAAGGCTGCAGAGGATCCCAAGAAGAAGAATAAGCAAAGACAAAGTAGCCCGGAGAGAAAGGTTGCAGAGGATCCCAAAAAGAAGAAGAAGCAAAGGCAACGTAGCCCGGAGAGAAAGGCTGCAGAGGATTCCAAGAAGAATAAAAAGAAGCCAAGGCAAAGTAGCCCGGAGAGAAAGACTGCAGAGGATCCCAAGAAGAAGAAGAAGAAGAAGAAGTAAAGGCAAAGTAGCCAGGAGAGAAAGGCTGCAGAGGATCCCAAGAAGAAGAAGAAGCAAAGGCAAAATAGCCCGGACAGAAAGGCTATAGAGGATCCCAAGAAGAAGAAGCAAAGGCAAAGTAGCCCGGAGAGAATGGTTGCAGAGGATCCCAAAAAGAAGAACAAAAAAAAGAAGAAGAAGAAGAAGCAAAGGCAAAGTAGCCCGGAGAGAAAGGCTGCAGAGGATCCCAAGAAGAAGAAGCCAAGGCAAAATAGCCCGGAGAGAAAGGCTGCAGAGGATCCCAAGAAGAAGAAGAAGCAAAGGCAAAAAAGCCCGGAGAGAAAGACTACAGATGATCCCAAGAAGAAGAAGCAAAGGCAAACTAGCCCGGAGAGAAAGGTTGCAGAGGATCCCAAAAAGAAGAAGAAAAAGAAGAAGAAGAAGAAGCAAAGGCAAAGTAGCCCGGAGAGAAAGGCTGCAGAGGACCCCAAGAAGAAGAAGCTAAGGCAAAGTAGCCCGGAGAGAAAGGCTGCAGAGGATCCCAAGAAGAAGAAGAAGAAGCAAAGGCAAAGTAACCCGGAGAGAAAGGCTATAGAGGGTCCCAAAAAGAAGAAGAAGGAGCAAAGGCAAAGTAGCCCGGAGAGAAAGGCTGCAGAATATCCCAAGAAGAAGAAGAAGCAAAGATAAAATAGCCCGGAGAGAAAGGCTGCAGAGGATCCCAAGAAGAAGAAGAAGCAAAGGCAAAGTAGCCCGGAGAGAAAGGCTGCAGAGGATCCCAAGAAGAAGAAGCAAAGGCAAAGTAGTCCGGAGAGAAAGGCTGCAGAGGATCCCAAGAAGAAGAAGAAGAAGCAAAGGCAAATAGCCCGGAGAGAAAGGCTGCAAAGGATCCCAAGAAGAAGAATAAAGGCAAAGTAGCCCGGAGAGAAAGGCTGCAGAGGATCCCAAGAAGAAGAAGCAAAGGCAAAGTAGCCAGGAGAGAAAGGCTGCAGAGGATCCCAAGAAGAAGAAGGAAGCAAAGGCGAAAAAGTCCGGAGAGAAAGGCTGTAGAGGATCCCAAGAAGAAGAAGCAAAGGCAAAATAGTCTGGAGAGAAAGGCTGCAGAAGATCCCAAGAAGAAGAAGCAAAGGCAAAGTAGCCCGGAGAGAAAGGCTGTAGAGGATCCCAAGAAGAAGAAGAAGCAAAGGCAAAGAAGCCCGGAGAGAAAGACTACAGAGGATCCCAAGAAGAAGAAGAAGCAAAGGCAAAGAAGCCCGGAGAGGAGAAAGGCTGCGGAGGATCCCAAAAAGAAGAAGAAGCGAAGGCAAAGCAGCCCGGAGAGAAAGACTACAGAGGATCCCAAGAAGAACAAGAAGCAAAGGCAAAGTAGTACGGAGAGAAAGGCTGCAGAGGATCCCAAGAAGAAGAAGAAGCAAAGGAGGCAAAGTAGCCGGAGAGAAAGGCTGCAGAGGATCCCAGTAAGAAGAAGAAGAAATAAAGGAAAAGTAGCCCGGAGAGAAAGGCTGCAGAGGATCCCAAGAAGAAGAAGAAAGAAGAAGCAAAATGCAAAAAAATAGACCGGAGAGAAGGGCTGCAGGGATACCAAGAAAGAAAAAAGAAGAAAAGGCCAAAAAAGCCCGGAGGGAGAAAAGGCTTCGGATCTGCAGAGATCCAAGAAGACTAAAAAAGAGCAAAAAGGAAAAAGTAGACGGAGAGAGGAGGAAAGAAATGCAAGAGGATCCCAAGAAGAGAAGAAGCAAAGGCAAAGTAGCCCGGAGAGAAAGGCTGCAGAGGATCCCAAGAAGAAGACGAAGAAGCAAAGGCAAAGTATTGATAGCCCGGAGAGAAAGGCTGCAGAGGATCCCAAGAAGAAGAAGCAGAGGCAAAATAGCCCGGAGAGAAAGGCTGCAGAGGACCCCAAGAAGAAGAAGAAGAAGCAAAGGTAAAGTAGCCCGGAGAGAAAGGCTGCAGAGGATCCCAAGAAGAAGAAGAAGAAGCAAAGGCAAAGTAGAAAGGTTGCAGAGGATCCCAAGAAGAAGAAGAAGCAAAGACAAAGCAGCTCGGAAAGAACGGCTGCAGAGGATTCCAAGAAGAAGAACAAGAAGCAAAGGCAAATTAGCTTGGAGAGAAAGGCTGCAGAGGATCCCAAGAAGAAGAAGAAGAAGCAAAGGCAAAGTAGAAAGGTTGCAGAGGATCCCAAGAAGAAGAAGAAGAAGCAAAGGCAAAGTAGCCCGGAGAGAAAGGCTGCAGAAGATCCCAAGAAGAAGAAGAAGCAAAGGCAAAGTAGTCCGGAGAGAAAGGTTGCAGAGGATCCCAAAAAGAAGAAGAAGCAAAGGCAAAGTAGCCCGGAGAGAAAGGCTGCAGAAGATCGCAAGAAGAAGAAAAAGAAGCAAAGGCAAAGTAGCCCGGAGAGAAAGGCTGCAGAAGATCCCAAGAAAAAGAAGAAGAAGAAGCAAAGGCAAACTAGCCCGGAGAGAAAGGCTGCAGAGGATCCCAAGAAGAAGAAGAAGCAAAGGCAAAGTAGCCCGGAGAGAAAGGCTGCAGAGGATGAAGCAAAGGCAAAATAGCCCGGAGAGAAAGGCTGCAGAGGATCCCAAGAAGAAGAAGCAAAGCCAAAGTAGCCCGGAGAGAAAGGCTGCAGAGGATCCCAAGAAGAAGAAGAAGAAGCAAAGGCAAAGGAGCCCAGAGAGAAAGGCTGCAGAGGATCCCAAGAAGAAGAAGCAAAGGCAAAGTAGCCCGGAGAGAAAGGCTGCAGAGGATCCCAAGAAGAAGAAGAAGCAAAGGCAAAATAGCCCGGAAAGAAAGGCTGCAGAGGATCCCAAGAAGAAGAAGAAGCAAACACAAATATGCCCGGAGAGAAAGGCTGCAGAGGATCACAAGAAGAAGAAGAAGTAAAGGCAAAGTGGCCCGGAGAGAAAGGCTGCAGAGGATCCCAAAAAGAAGAAGCAAAGGCAAAGTAGCCCGGAGAGAAAGGCTGCAGAATATCCCAAGAAGAAGAAGAAGAAGCAAAGGCAAAGTAGTCCAGAGAGAAAGGCTGCAGAGGATCCCAAGATGAAGAAGAAGCAAAGATAAAATAGCCCGGAGAGAAAGGCTGCAGAGGATCCCAAGAAGAAGAAGAAGCAAAGGCAAAGTAGCCCGGAGAGAAAGGCTGCAGAGGACTCCAAGAAGAAGAAGAAGCAAAGGCAAATAGCCCGGAGAGAAAGGCTGCAGAGGATCCCAAGAAGAAGAAGAAAGAAGAAAGGCAAAGTAGCCCGGAGAGAAAGGCTGCAGAGGATCCCAAGAAGAAGAAGAAAAAAGGCAAAATAGCCCGGAGAGAAAGGCTATAAGAGGATCCCAAGAAGAAGAAGCAAAGGCAAAGTAGCCCGGAGAGAAAGGCTGCAGAGGACCCCAAGAAGAAGAAGCAAAGGCAAAGGCAAAGTAGCCCGGAGAGAAAGGCTGCAGAGGATCCCAAGAAGAAGAAGAAGAAGCAAAGGCAAAATAGCCCGGAGAGAAAGGCTGCAAAGGATCCCAAGAAGAAAAAGTAAAGGCAAAGTTGCCTTGCAGAGGATCCCAAGAAGAAGAAGAAGCAAAGGCAAAGTAGCCCGGAGAGAAAGGCTATAGAGGATCCCGAGAAGAAGAAGAGGAAGCAAAGGCAAAGTAGCCCGGAGAGAAAGGCTGCAGAGGATTCCAGGAAGAGAAGAAGCAAAGGCAAAGTAGCCCGGAGAGAAAGGAGAGAAAGGCTGCAGAGGATCCCAAGAAGAAGAAGCAAAGGCAAAATTGCCCGGAGAGAAAGACTGCAGAGGATCCCAAGAAGAAGAAGAAGCAAAGGCAAAGTAGCCCGGAGAGAAAGGCTGCAGAGGATCCCAAGAAGAAGAAGAAGCAAAGGCAAAATTGTCCGGAGAGAAAGGCTCCAGAGGATCCCAAGAAGAAGAAGCAAAGGCAAAGTAGCCCGGAGAGAAAGGCTGTAGAGGATCCCAAGAAGAAGAAGCAAAGGCAAAATAGCCCGGAGAGAAAGGCTGCAAAGGATCCCAAGAAGAAAAAGTAAAGGCAAAGTAGCCTTGCAGAGGATCCCAAGAAGAAGAAGAAGCAAAGGCAAAGTAGCCCGGAGAGAAAGGTCGCAGAAGATCCCAAGAAGAAGAAGAAGAAGCAAAGGCAAAGTAGCCCGGACAGAAAGGCTGCAGAGGATCCCAAGAAGAAGAAGAAGAAGAAGCAAAGGCAAAGTATTGATAGCCCGGAGAGAAAGGCTACAGAGGATCCCAAGAAGAAGAAGAAGCAAAGGCAAAGTAGCCCGGAGAGAAAGGCTGCAGAGGATCCCAAGAAGAAGAAGAAGGAAAATAAGAAGAAGAAGAAGAAGAAGAAGCAAAGGCAAAGTAGCCCGGAGAGCAAGGCTGCAGAGGATCCCAAGAAGAAGAAGAAGAAGCCAAAGTAGCCCGGAGAGAAAGGCTGCAGAGGATCCCAAGAAGAAGAAGAAGAAGAAGCAAAGGCAAAGTAGCCTGGAGAGAAAGGCTGCAGAGGATCCCAAAAAGAAGAAGGAGCAAAGGTAAAGTAGCCCGGAGAGAAAGGCTGCAGAGTATCCCAAGAAGAAGAAGCAAAGGCAAAGTAGCCCGAAGAGAAAGGCTGCAGAGGATCCCAAGGAGAAGAAGAAGCCAAGGCAAATCAGCCCGGAGAGAAAGGCTGCCGAGGAGCCCAAGAAGAAGAAGAAGCAAAGGCAAAGTAGCCGGGAGAGAAAGGGTGCAGAGGATCCCAAGAAGAAGAAGAAGCAAAAGCAAAGTAGCCCGGAGAGAAAGGCTGCAGAGGATCCCAAGAAGAAGAAGAAGCAAAGGCAAAGTAGCCCGGAGAGAAAGGCTGCAGAGGATGAAGCAAAGGCAAAATAGCCCGAAGAGAAAGGCTGCAGAGGATCCCAAGAAGAAGAAGCAAAGCCAAAGTAGCCCGGAGAGAAAGGCTGCAGAGGATCCCAAGAAGAAGAAGAAGAAGCAAAGGCAAAGGAGCCCAGAGAGAAAGGCTGCAGAGAATCCCAAGAAGAAGAAGAAGTAAAGGCAAAGTAGCCCGGAGAGAACACCTGCAGAGGATCCCAAGAAGAAGAAGAATTAAAGGCAAAGTAGTCCGGAGAGAAAGGCTGCAGAGGATCCCAGGAAGAAGAAGAAGCAAAGGCAAAGTAGCCCGGAGAGAAAGGCTGCAGAGGATCCCAAGAAGAAGAAGCAAAGGCAAAGTAGCCCGGAGAGAAAGGCTGCAGAGGATCCCAAGACGAAGAAGAAGTAAAGGCAAAGTAATCCGGAGAGAACGACTGCAGAGGATTCCAAGAAGAAGAAGCAAAGGCAAAATTGCCCGGAGAGAAAGGCTGCAGAGGATCCCAAGAAGAAGAAGCAAAGGCAAAGTAGCCCGGAGAGAAAGGCTGCAGAGGATCCCAAGAAGAAGAAGAAGAAGTAAAGGCAAAATAGCCAGGAGAGAAAGGCTATGGAGGATCCCAAGAAGAAGAAGCAAAGGCAAAGTAGCCCAGAGAGAAAGGCTGCAGAGGATCCCAAGAAGAAAAAGCAAAGGCAAAGTAGCCGGGAGAGAAAGGCTGCAGAGGATCCCAAGAAGAAGAAGCAAAGGCCCGGAGAGAAAGGCTGCAGAGGATCCCAAGAAGAAAAAGCAAAGGCAAAATAGCCCGGAGAGAAAGGCTGCAGAGGATCCCAAGAAGAAGAAGAAGCAAAGATAAAGTAGCCCGGAGAGAAAGGCTGCAGAGGATCCCAAGAAGAATAAAAAGAAGCAAAGGCAAAGTAGCCCGGAGAGAAAGACTGCAGAGGATCCCAAGAAGAAGAAGTAAAGGCAAAGTAGCCCGGAGAGAAAGGCTGCAGAGGATCCAAGAAGAAGAAGAAGAAGCAAGGCAAAGTATTGATAGCCCGGATAGAAAGGCCGCAGAGGATCCCAAGAATAAAAATCAAGGCAAAATAGCCCGTAGAGAAGCTGCAGAGGATCCCAGAAAGAGATCCAAGGCCCGGAGAGAAAGGTTGCAGAGGATCCCAAGAAGAAGATGCAAAGGCAAAATAGTCCGGAGAGAAAGTCTGCAGAGGATCCCAAGAAGAAGAAGAAGCAAAGGCAAAGTAGCCCGGAGAGAAAGGCTGCAGAGGATCCCAAGAAGAAGAAGAAGCAAAGGCAAATGAGCCCGGAGAGAAAGGCTGCAGAGGATCCCAAGAAGAAGAAGAAGCAAAGGCAAAGTAGCCCGCAGAGAAAGGCTGCAGAGGATCCCAAGAAGAAGAAGAAGCAAAGGCAAAAGAGCCCGGAGAGAAAGGCTGCAGAAAATCCCAAGAAGAAGAAGAAGTAAAGACAAAGTAGCCCGGAGAGAAAGATTGCAGAGGATCCCAAGAAGAAGAAGAAGCTAAGGTAAAATGGCCCGGAGAGAAAGGCTGCAGATGATCCCAAGAAGAAGAAGAAGCAAAGGCAAAGTAGCCCGGAGAGAAAGGCTACAGAGGACCCCAAGAAGAAGACGAAGAAGAAGCAAAGGCAAAATAGCCCGGAGAGAAAGGCTGCAGAGGATTCCAAGAAGAGAAGAAGCAAAGGCAAAGTAGCCCGGAGAGAAAGGCTGCAGAGGATCCCAAGAAGAAAGACATAAAAGAACAAAGGCAAAGTTATTGATGCCGCGAGAGAAAAAGACTGCAGAGGATCCCAAGAAAATAATAAGACACAAATGCAAAGTAGCCCGTAGAGAAAGGCTGCAGAGGAATCCAATAAAAGCAGAAGCAAAGGCAAAATAGCCCGCATAAAAGACTGCAGGGGATCACAAGAAGAAAAAGCAAAGGCAAAATAGCCCGGAGAGAAAGGCTGCAGAGGATCCCAAGAAGAAGAAGCAAAGGCCCGGAGAGAAAAACTGCAGAGGATCCCAGGAAGAAGAAGAAGCAAAGGCAAAGTAGTCCGGAGAGAAAAGTTATAGAGGATCCCAAGAAGAAGAAGCAAAAGCAAAGTAGTCCGGAGAGAAAGGCGGCAGAGGATCCCAAAAAGAAGAAGAAGAAATAAAGGCAAAGTAGTCCGGAGAGAAAGGCTGCAGAGGACCCCAAGAAGAAGAAGCAAAGGTAAAGAAGCCCGGAGACAAAGGTTGCAGAGGATCCCAAGAAGAAGAAGCAAAGGCAAAGTAGCCCGGAGAGAAAGGCTGTAGAGGATCCCAAGAAGAAGAAGCAAAGGCAAAGTAGCCCGGAGAGAAAGGCCGCAGAAGATCCCAAGATGAAGCAGAAGCAAAGGCAAAGTAGCCCGGAGAGAAAGGCTGCAGAGGATCCCAAGAAGAAGAAGAAGCAAAGGCAAAATAGCCCGCAGAGAAAGGCTACAGGGGATCCCAAGAAGAAGAAGCAAAGGCTAAGTAGAAAGATTGCAGAGGATCCCAAGAAGAAGAAGAAGCAAAGACAAAGTAGCCCGGAAAGAAGGACTGCAGAGGATTCCAAGAAGAAGAAGAAGAAGCAAAGGCAACCTAGCCCGGAGAAAAAGGCTGCAGAGGATCCCAAGAAGAAGAAGAAGAAGCAAAGGCAAAGGAGAAAGGTTGCAGAGGAGCCCAAGAAGAAGAAGCAAAGGCAAAGTAGCCCGGAGAGAAAGGCTGCAGAAGATCCCAAGAAGAAGAAGAAGCAAAGACAAAATAGCGAGGAGAGAAAGGCTGCAGAGGATCCCAAGAAGAACAAGAAGCAAAGGCAAAATAGCCTGGAGATAAAGGCTGCAGAGGATCCCAAGAAGAAGAAGAAGAGGAAGCAGAGGCAAAATAGCCCGGAGAGAAAGGCTGCAGAAGATCGCAAGAAGACGAAGAAGCAAAGACAAAGTAGCCCGGAGAGAAAGACTGCAGAGGATCCCAAGAAGAAGAAGAAAAGGCAAAATAGTCCGGAGAGAAAGACTGCAGAGGATCCCAAGAAGAAGAAGAAGCAAAGGCAAAGTAG